TTAATATAATTATTATTACTTCGAAGATTTTTAAATTTTTTTGAAATAAAAATTTCTGGAGTTTATTATTTTAAAAAACTTTTATATTAAAAATTTCTTGATGATAGTAACTATAAAAAATTTTATTTAACTGATTATAAATATGTCTTTAATTTTTAACTTTTCTTTTCTAATCCAAAAAATAAATCAAGTCCTGAAACAGAAATCAATAGAAGTTATATATATCAAACCTAAGTCCAGACCATTTACAAACAAGACAATCCAATGGAGCAACTATTCATCACACTTCTCAGAGAGCCCTCTAATCAACAACACATATTTAGGCAGCAATGTCAGATAGTATAAAAAAATTTTTAGTATTACCAGAAATTATATGATTTGTGAAAGCACCTCAGTTCTTCAAACTTTTGAATGGCATCATATTCTACATGATTTAAAAATTATCAATTAGTTCAACAAAAATATCAAAAGGACGCACAACAACAGCTATAGCAACCTAATAGCGTTCAGAGTTAAACTTCTCTCAGAAACACTTCCAACTCACCAAACACTTTACCAATATCATTCTGATTAATATCCAAATAAGTATTGTTCAAGATATGAACTTTACACTAAAGACATTCAGCATGTCTTCAAGTGTCTTGAAGCCTTAGAAAAGACCAATCAAATAATAAACAACATCAATTAAATTTTTCATCCAGATAAAAATCTCAAACCGATTTCTTACATATGGCAAGTCATAGAACTGTCAGACATCACCAACTGGATCAAGGCATTAACTAAATTTCTAATTCAATTATATAATTTAATCTGGAAACCACGATGCAACACCACTAATACCTTATCTCTTACAGATATCAAATGGAAATCAAACGAATCACTGAACACCACCAATTTAGCCAAACCAAAAAGAAATTATACTGCTTCTAGCAGAAGCTCACATTTCAATAATATTCAAAATGAAACTATTATAAACCTATTGACAATTGTCACTAACTCTTTTATTCAATATAACTATAATTATAACAAATGTATTCAAAAATTAATTTCATTTCTTCCAAATACTATTTCCCTTAATACTGAGTAGGTATTTATAGCTGCTCGGTGCCACACAGTAAGATATATTATTTTAAACTTTTTTTTTAATATTAGTTGTATGGTTACTATAGGCAAGCTAGTATTTAACTCATTATATTAACATATAAGAGATGTTGTTTCTTTTATGATATATACCTTGTTATATACAAATCAAATAAAGAAATGATGTTTATCTACTTAAAAAAAAAAAAATATTTTTAATTTTCAATTTAAGTATTATTATTATACTGTATATATTTTTTTTGATTGAATATTTTAAAATTAAGAAATAAAGTTTTTAAAAAAAATCTATACCTTTTAAAAAAATTTTTGTCTTTTATAATATATAAATTTTATTAAAGTATTTATTTATATTTAATTTTTTTTTTAAAATTTTTTACAAATTATTATTTTTTTATATTTTTAATAAAAAACATATTTAATATTTTTGAATAGCTTTTAAATATTTTATTTAATTAAATTATATATTTATAATTTATAATTTATTATATATAGGTTTAATCTTAAATATTCTATTTTTTATTTGTTTGAAAAAAATAATTAGAAAAAATATATTTATATTATTTATGTTTTGTATTTTTTGTTTAAAAAATTAATAATTATTAGGTAATCTTTTAGTTTGTTTATATTAAAGTTCTAAAAAATATTAAATTTGTATTGAAATAGTATTGAAATAATATTATTTTATAATAAGTTTAATATATAAATTATAATCTGCTTATATAAATTTATAATAAAATCAAGTATCAAACCAATATTAAATTATTGTTGAAATAATATTGTTAAGAGTTCTAATTTATATTAACAATATTTTTTTTTAAATTTTTATAATTAAATATTTATTTTATGAAGTTTTAAAAATATTTATTTATTTTTTTAGATTCTTAAATTTGAATTTTTTTATTTGTTATATATATAATATTTCTAATATTATAAGTTCCTATATATAATAGATTGATATTAATACTAATAAAAAAATATTTTAATATATTACTATAAAAGTCTATATTTTGATTATCTAAAAATATTTTTTTTATTTTTGTAATATTATTATTAAGTAATAAATTATATAATTTTTAAAAGAATTTATTTGCAATATATTTTTTAGTAATTTATTTTTTAAATATAAGTTTTAATTTAATTGATTTATTATTATTTATTATATTTTTTAATTTTGTTAATCTGATATTGATAGTTTTTAACACAATATAGATTATATTTTATAAATCATATATTTTTAATATATTGGAATTGAATATTATTTGTTTAGTTATAATTTATTTGTTTTTTTTTTTTTTTATTTATGTAATTTAATTATTTTAGATTTTTTTGTATTTTATAAAAGAAGAAAACCTTTTTATTAAAATAATTAAACTGATTTTTATTTCTTTTCTTATAATCTTAAGTTTAAAGTTTTTTTGCTTTTTTATAATAGTTATATATTTTGATATTATTTTTAGTGTTTTATCAAGTTTTGTATTTAAATGGTTTTATATATAAAAACAAAATTTTATTTAAATAATTTTGATTTTTGAAACCTATAATAATAAAGTTTTTTTTTTGCCAGTTTGCTATTAAGTAAAATGCATATTATTTTAACTTTAAATGCTTTATTATAATTATTATCTGTAAGAGTAATATTGATTTTCCAATACTATATAGTTTAATTATAATTTAAATAATAATAATAATATATATATATTTCTTTCATATCTTAATATTAAAATAATTATATAACATGAATTTATATTACTTTATTAATAAGACATGTTTTTATCATAAAAAAATATATACAGCATTTCAAAAAAATAAAAACATCAATTTATATTGTAATAAATTCAAAAAATTTCAAATTTGAACTTGAAATTATAATTATAAATAATCTTTCTAATTTTAATCTAATTAAAAATATACGAAACATTAAATTCATAAAATCACAAAATGAATTTTGAATTGAAAAAACCATTACTGTAATATAAAGCAGTATTTAATTTGAAAAAATTCTTTCATTTTATTAATTTCATATCAAAAAATTAATATAAAAAAAAAATCGACCCAATTTTGTGTGACCCCTCCGTATGTACTATTCAATTTTTTTATTAGGTCCACAAACTTTTTGTGTACTATTGTTCATTAATATAGATAAACTTAATAAAACATTCCATAGCTGAGAATAAAGTTTACACTAAAGGCCATAAAACGATTGCCGTGAAAGTTAAATCGTACATTGCGAAGATCTTCAGATTAAACAAGTCTTTAATTAATAAAAATCCAAATTAAACCAAGTTATATTACTTTTTTCATATTGCGAGATTGTTATTAGATCTTACTATTTTAAGATACTAAAAAAAAACGAAATATAATAATTATCCTATTTTGGGTTCAAGTTAGCAATACTATAGAGAACAATTACATCAAACTTCTGTCTTACTAATTCAATACTATGGTAACATTGAAAGAATTCTACAGCAAACGTAGATGGGATGTGTCGAAAAAGGAAAAATAATATATCAACGAGCTTTCCTTAAGAACTACTTCCACATACCGTGGAAAGCAGGTTCTGTAGGAATAGTTCCATGCTCTAGGCGAAGTTCATCAAAGATATCCTTTTCTGCAAATGGTTCGATCGATTTTATCTCAAACTCAGCCAAATCTATTTCGTATATTATAAATAGAAATGAATAAATAATATAAATGATTCGGATAGTTGAGAAATATGAAATTACCTTCAAGCTTTTTGCCAACCTCTTCACCTAGTTCTCCAACAATATCATTACTAGCACCAATTAGTAAAAATTCACAACCTCTATAATCCAAGAATTCGGTTGAAGGCAAGCTCATAAAACGTCTTCCTTGGAATTGTTTCTCTAGATGAGCGGGAAATTTAACCTGTTCGTAGTCGGGAAGACCAACCTGAGGAGGATTCTCTACTTCAGGATTCTTAACGGATATTACGTAAGAACCTTTAAATCGAATAAAAAAGATTATAATTTATGCGAAATCAATCGAAAATGTACCACGTTGTAGATTATATACCTTCTTTAACAATTTTGAAATCTTTTTGAACGTTAGTTGGTTCTTCTGGAAATTCAAGTACATATGCCAAATGTGTTTGCCCTTTGTGTTCAACCATATAATAGACTCCGCGTCCCTGTTATTTCAATATTCGATTATAAGTAAAGAAAATGATAACTAAAAAATAAAAAAAAAATACACACCAACAATCTACATGATTTTTGTCCGGACGAGTATTCCTGACCATTAACAAATTCTTTAACATCATCCGAGTTATCAAATACTTTGTCCTGATAAAGAAAAAAGAGCGTTTAATTAATTAAACAAATAAATTAAGAAAGACAGACAAAAACTTACAACAAAAGCCCAAAACCGATCATGTTTGCTGATTTCAGGAAGCTGTTTCTTGCCGATAATAATTGACCTGATTTTACCGAGTTTTGATTTATCTTCATCCGCTTGTTGTTTTTTGCTATCGTGGGAATTTAGATAAGCATAGCTTGAAATTGGCTCATCCTTTAATGAAGGACGAACAAAATGTGGTATGAGAATGACATATAATCTCTGTACTTCATCAACGCTCTCTGGATGCTCGACTCCTGTCTATTAAATTATTATTAAATTATTGTTAGCATGTCATATAAACAATAACCAGTTAAACAATAGTGTCACGTGACATACCTTCGGCCTGTAAAGGAAAACGATATGTCCTTTTTCGTAGACACTTTCTGGCATCTTATCTTCAAGCTCTTTTCTCTTTTCTTCTTCAAAGGACATTTGTGATGATAAATGTTCATTGTTTTCATGAGGTTCATTGCCACTGCTTGTCACGTGTTCATCAGCATGAGGATCCGTCGTTTCGTTTTGAGAGGAAGAGACAGGTACGTCATCAGATTGTTTGGTAAAGTCATCAATCAACATTTGATCCTGACTCTGCTGAGAGGTAAGAACGAATGACATGTCATCGCGTTTGAGATCCGTTACCGCAGTATCAGGGTTGGTGCACCCATTAGAATTACCATTTGCTCCGTTTTGATGGGACTCGACTGTTTCTTCTTCATCTTCATCCTTCTTTCTACGCTTATCCGGAGGGGCTTCCGAGTCAACGACATTTTCAACATTATTTGACGTCGAGTCCTCAATAAAACTTTCATCGTTATTAGGAGGGGTTTGTTGTTGTTCTTGCTCGTGGTTATCTCCGTTGCTATTATTTCCTTTTATGGAAGCATCGGACTTGCGCTTTCTTGAGCCGCTACCATTAGTAGCGGCATCCTCAGCAATCTTTGCTGAAGCGACAGTTGAAGCTTTTCTTTTTTGCGGCATTATACTACCGTTGTTTTCAGTGAGGTTATCCAGTTTGAAGAATTTTGTGGAAGCAGAAAAAAAAACAGAGAATCTAACTAACAACAAATATTAGAGAGAATTATAAGATCGTAGAATGGGGTAAATGTTTTTAAGAGTTGTGAAAGTGAAATTCGAACAGGAGAAAAAAAAAGAGAGAAGGGCGGGAATAAAGTTTAATTTATACTAGAAAATTTTCGAATTGATATAAAACGATCTCGTGCAATATTACATAAAATAAATAAATAAAGATTCGTGTATAGTAACAATTAACAATTCCTAAAAAATTATACTATTATAGAGATCTCGGAAGTTGATACTTAATAGAATATAAATATGTAAAACACAAGGTTACATTGCAACAAATGTTGATTACCACGAATCATTTTACCAGATATAATCAGATTACTGTAAATAACAAAAATGGTGGAGCCCGACTCTTTTAATCCCAGAATCAATTGTGCAGTAATTATCTTGATTAATTTGTGTACACACATACCATATATATGTCAATTGAGAATACAATAGTAAAATAAGTAAAATATAAATAAATAAATAAAATATCATTGTAAACATAGTGTTTTTCAGACGGAAAAACCACCCATGATGATATTTGGCTATGCTGACTAGGTAATCAAAAGCTGTTATACAAATACTATTCAAGGAGTAATACGAGTCAGATGAGGAAACGACTAATGTGTCAAATAAGAAAATGACTAATGAGGAAGAGGCTCATGAACATTTTTGCCGATTAATCATATCTGATTCGATCAATGTGGGAGAAAATTTACAGAATGAAAAACAGAAACAGGTCTATCATTTGGCACACTTGGTTCATAGTAACGTACAAGGTAACATAAATAAGTAAATTAATGGCATTTCTTGCCCATTATAAAACCCAACAATTTAAAGTTTAGGGCTAATCATACATTCTCAATTATACTGATACTGCATAATATAAATTGGTTACACTATTTGGGACCCGCGAATGGGGCCCGCATTAATTTGTCACCTATAGGATATAAAAAAACCTTATTTATCTGTGCATGGAAACCGGCGACTGTTTCATAAATACGTTATAGGGGTAAAGTGAGATATCATACATTAATATTTTTAGAATTATTTTATATAATATAAAAAAAAATTTTTTTTTATTTAATATACTCTATATAACAAATATAATATAATTGCATATCTTTATTTAGTGAATCAATAATAATTATTTAAGTTTTATTGAAATATAGTTTTTAAAACAATATATGTAAAAATAATAATATATTAATAATATTAAAAAATTAATTTATTAAAAACTTGTTAAATTTATAGTAGCAAAAATTATATAAAACAAAATAATTATAATTAAACAAGTATTTATTATGTTTATTTAATTTTTAAATTAAAAATATAATGATATAAAACTTTTATATATAAATTATTTTAATATTTAAATATTTATTATTAATTTATAATTTATAAATAAATTAATTAAGTCTTACATTTAATGCTCTTGACCAATAAAATAAATAAAATTAATTAATTGTTTTTTTATTTGCAATTTATTATAATAATTTATAATATTTAATATTAAAAAAAATATATTATAAACAAAATATTATTTATTATAATTTCAAATTAAATTATATAATAATATATTAAATATATTAAATATATTTTAATATTATATTAAAATTGAAAATTTTTATTTTTTTATTTATTTATTTAATAAGTATTGAATACAAAATTAATTTTAAAAATTTTATATTTAAAGTTAATTTTATAAATATATATTATATTATTTATAATTATTAGATTAAAAAAATATTTTTTTTATTTGTTTATTTTTATTTTTAATCAAATTGTATATATTATTTATATTTATTAATCTTATAAAAGATTCTAATATAAATATTATAAGAATATATATAGTATATTATTATTATTATATAATATATTTATCAATAGTTTAAAAAAATCCCCAATATCTATATTATCTCTTTAACTTTCTACTTTTTTTTTTTTAAGTGTATTTTTTTTTTTTTTTTTTTGAAGAATTTTGCCTATCTCAGGTTGATATTGTATTTTTGATTATATCAGATTTTCTGAAAAATAATTGGTTAAGACTATAGATTGGTTAATTATGTTAGTTACAGAAAAAGTAAACAAGACACATACTTCTTATATGTTTTCAGTTATATAATACCAAATTAATAATATGATTAGTTTTTGAAAAAGTTGAATGGTTATTAGTTAAAGATGCTATATAGAAGTATTAAATAAAGCAAAAGTTATAAATAGAAGAAAAATAACATCTTTTTTTAATTTCTTTTTTTTTTTTTTAAGGACAAGAAATAGTAACAAGATCTAGGTCCTATTTCAATTTGGCAACAAGTTGAAGTATTGATATTTATCTCAAAAATAATTAGAAAAAAAAGTCATAAAACTATTTACCAGTTAAGTAAAATAATAATTTCAGAAAGATATAGCTTGAAAGAAAAATCAACAATAGAAAACTAACATCTTTTTTAATTAGAAGTCTTCAAATATAAAGTTTTAAGAAATACTCTTTTGAAAGTATCTTTAAATGTTCTTGGATATTGATTACTTTAATAAAAATTAAACAGTTTAACTAATTATAGATAATAAAAAGTAAAAAATCATAAGGAACTTGGGTTTTAAGTTTACAAAAATAACCTTTTCAATAATAGTTAGAATAAATAATAACTTTTTTTATTTTTTTTTCTAATTGTTTTTTATATATACAATTGTACTGTTTTTTCTTTTTATTTATTTTATTTTATTTTTTTTTCTTTTATATAGTTTTTACAAGAGAGAATAATACAATTTGAATTTATAGTCATGACTGTAAAGATAATTTGCAGGTTATAATTCTAAGATTTTAATTCTTTCCAATAGGGGCCTAATTGTGGAATTAAAAAAAAAAAACAACTAATATATTTTTTTTATATAAAAAATTTTCAAAAAATTAAATTTGATTTAATAAGTTTTTAATAAATTATTATTATTATTATTATTATTTTTAAAAAAATGGTTGTAATATTAATTCTTTTTGCTAATCCCTTTGTCAATACAAAAAACAGACGTTCCAAGAAAATTTTTATATTTTTTTATAATAAAGTCTATACACTTTCATTAACAACACTCACACCAAGAGACTACAGTCTCTTTCACTTGTTCTTTTCTTTTTTTGACATAAACTTCTTGTATTTCTATGAGTAAATATAAGAAATACCTATCTATAAAGTTAAAGACAAGAAAACTTTATTAGGAAAAAGAACTTGTAGAAAAAATACTCTCTTCTTTTTCTCCAGAGATTCAAAACTCTAGAAAAGACTGGCACAGTTTTTGAAACTCTTTTCTCATCTTTCTCAAGCTTCCTCCTATCTTTTCAAGTATGCAAACTTTTTCTTGATTTTTCAAGAAATTTTGCCTACCTCAGTTTGACCTGAATTTTTGGCTACACCAGAATTCTTGAATAATGATTGGCTCGAATTTAGAACTGATTAATCTACACATAACAAGAAATATAAACAAGACACATAACTTCCATATGTTTCATCTCACATAACACCAAATCTGATTATGTAATTGGTTCTAACAGAAAGAGCAAGGTAATGAGGCGTCTGCTTTGTAAAGAAGAAGTTTAAAGCTCTCACCTCTCCCCTTTTATATTGGTTTTGTTTCTCTTTAAGGTTGAAGAAAGGTCTTATTCCAGGCATAGTAATAAGTTTCTTTTGTTGCTGATTATCTTAAAAATGGTTGAAGAAAGGGTTTTGAAACTATCTACTGATTGAATAAAGCTGTAATTCTTTAGAAAACCAGCTGGAAAAGAAATCACCAAATAATATATCAACCCTCTTTAAAGGTTAGAAGTCTTCGAGCATAAAGTTTCAAGAATTATTCTTCTAAAAGTGCCCTTAAATATTCTTGATTAGTAACAAAATAGTAGAATTGAATGGGTATCTAGCTGTAGATGGTCGGACTCAAGATTGACTTCAAGGAGTTTTTATTTGTCAACACAAACTTTTCACTTTTAATACTTTCCTTTCACCCTTTTTTTTTTATAAAAAAAAAATTTTTTTTATCTCTATAGGACCATAGTGGTTGTATAAGGATGACAGTCTTAAAATAAAGGCTGGCTATAAAATTAAGGAAGATATGAAGTATTCTCCAAAATTAAACAACTTTTTTATTTCCTCACAATCACACTTAGAGGCCACTGGCTATTGACGAGTATTCTTAAGATCATATAATTTAGCTTTAATATAATATTATTCTATATTGTATTACTGTATTTTTGTTAATTAAGACTCATATTAATAAACATCAAGACTTGCAGTCTGATTTGAAGTAAAAAAAAAACAAAAAAAAACAAATGGTTTCTATATATTTTTTTCATTATAAATTTTAGACTTGCAAATATAAGATTTATAATTTATAGTATAGTATATATCTCTTTTTATTAGGAAAAGTTTAATATAAGATTCACAATTACAACCCATCTGTCTAAGCTTTTTAGTACCACTCAAGAATATAGAAAAAAAAATTCAAATCTATATCTTATTTTAAATGACATCTAGCTACCTAAAGAATTTGATTATCTAATTATATAAAGACACTATAGTTATTATATACAAAATAACTTTCAAGTCATAACTAGAATTGGTACACTTAAGACCTGTGGATCTATAGCACAGTGGTTAGTGCTCCACAGATCAAATCACAAGATACTAGTTCAACTTCGAGTAAAGGCAGTTAAATAAAATAAAATAGTATCTGGCACCATAACCTGTCAAGTATCGTTTCTTAATACAAGCCGATTCACATTTAGATTCCGCAGGCAATAAGATTGTGACCATCAAGAAAAAGGTGTTGTAGCGCAATAATTATCTAGTTGTTGATATGACGATCACCGGAAGCAGTAAAAGAAGTGCAAGGTTACCGGTTCTAAAAAAATGGAAAAA